ATTGGAAATGACAAGTTGGAGAGTTGTAGCAAGATATTGGAGGAAACTGGAAGAATCCAGGATTTAGTAAGGACTGACAAAACGTGCAAGATGGCAGGATTTGGTCCCATTTACAAGTAGATAACAAACCTCAAAGTTAATAAACAGGGCTACAGTCTGATAACCCACAGGGATATGCTACAGTCTTCCACTGACACATGAGACTTCTCTCTACACCTACCCTTTTTTTCATTATTCTTAAGTCTGGTCTCATTCAGTTTGGCCTATTATTTACATAAGTGCAACAAGAAGAGTAACCGACCACATAGATCTCTGAAAGTTTGCTCTGCTGGAACTCTTCACAAATAATCTCGAATTCGATTTTTAAAACGTTTTCAAAGCCAGGAAACCAAGCCAAGAACTTGCCACCATGTTTCATCTGTAGAACCTATATATTTGGGTGCATTTCTCTCTTCCCTAGGTCCCCAAAATATCCTAAACTTCCTGGGCTTGCCGGGAAGTGAACTTCCTTATTCACCTCTAAGTTTTGGAACCCTGTAAACCAGATACTAGCCCCGTTTTCCCAAAAGAACTTTGTAAGCGTTGGCTCCATGAAGTCAACTTCAGTTTCATATATGATTCTAAGCATAATATTCTCAAATATGACATTCCAGTCAAAGCCTTGCTTATATAACCAATGTTTCCAATTATGTCTTGTTCAAAGAGGACAGATTCTTACTGAACTTACACAAATAATTATATTGCCATTAAAATGAGAATATTCGATAAGAGTTTCTGAATTCTGGAGGGATCAGACAGGGGAAAATGATAAATGTTTCACTTCTGTTTATAAAAGTATTATCTTCTAAATTGTGAGTGATACTTATGAGAAAAAAATCCAGCAGCAGTATTCCAAACAAAGGCTATAATCATTGTCCATCAGTTCATTCAGGCTCATGCAATTAATTCTTATTCTGCTTGGTTGTAGGTTAGCAGTTTTATGAACCCATCAGATTCTTTACTTGAGCTCTGGAAATCCTTTCTCAGTTGAATCCCATCAGAAGCCTGTATCCCGGAGACCTATCATAGTCCTTTCCATGGGTCTCGGAGACAATCTCTTCTTGTTCAAGATAAAGCACGCTGGCCAATAGCAGATTGCAAGTGCTTTTAAAGAAGAATCAGAGTTAAACAAAAACTATCTGTTGATGACAAAAGACTTAAAATGGCAGTGGTTAAAGATCTGATGACAATTCACTATAAAAATTATGCAGCTGACAAGGGAATTTGGTTATTTCTGTGGCATAAAACATTTAAAATAATAACTGGAATTATGACTGATAACATTACACCAGAATATATCATATACAGTGAGGGCACTGATAAATCTGATACAATATCTTGAACACTTACACTAACAAAATTTTATTCATGCAACTATAACCTAGAGAAAGTTAAGGCATCTGATATTTGACAGTGCTTTTCATGCAATGAACATATCAAATAAACCAAATTGGTTTTTGGCATCTCTCCTTTTACAAGATCAAAGAAAAAAATCCTTTGAGATTTTTCAAGTCATCTGAGAAAACTCAAACTCAGTTCAAAATGAAGATTTCGCCCAGGGTTTGATTCTGGGAAGGTAAAATTGTCCCAAATGTCAAAAGGTTTGAATACTTGGCTAAACATTATCCCAGGTTACTGTGAAACAATACTTAGCTATCTATTTAACCAAAGCAATGATAAAAAGAATTCAAAAGTAAATATGGGTGATAACATGACTATTTAAAAAAAGAGTTAGCTCCTTTAAAAGTGATAAGAACTGGTTGTCTTAAATAATTAAGGACATTATAAAGGTTAGTATAAAGCTCAGGAAATTATGATGATAGGGCAGTATCCTTGTTTCCTAGGGGATGACTTATCAGGTAAAGAAAACTCTCTTACAATCTCTTATTAAGAGCAGACCAATAATCAAAAAAACTTTCTTATTTCAACAGAGAGAAAATCAAATTCTAGTTATACATCAAGGTACTTTTGAAATTAAAGTTTTTTTTTAAACCCTATAAATAAATTTATCCAACCTTAGCCAACTTTGACCACAGGAGATAAGATTCCTTTTCCAAAATTCCTTTCTTGCGAACCTTCTACAACTATTTATATCTGTTCAGATTTTGTCTTATATTTTCCTCCTTTACTTGATGACAAAAATACTATCTTGTTCCCTTAACAGAAACCCATCCTACATACGTTGTATACTTTTTTCTTATCAGAAATAAAATCTACTGTCCTTGCATACTTTTCATACAAAGTTGTATCCCTTGATCCTTATTGTTTCTAGTAGTTTTATTTACATATATTGATGATAACATTTAACCATTATTAGCCTTTTTAATTTTATTTTGGGGGGGGAGGTAATTAGGTTTGTTTGTTTGTTTTTAGAGGAGGTATGGGGGATTGAACCCAGGACTCATGCATGCTAAGCATGTGCTCTACCACTTGAGCTATACCTTCCTCCACCTTTTTTTTTTTAAACAGAGCAAACTACAAAGTAAACAGTTGTGAATTGTCTGTCATATACCACCACTCTGCAGCAGACTAGTAAATTTTATGAATATATCCTCTTACAATTGTTATAGGTATGGGTTTCCTGATAGTGCAATTTTTCAATGTGTCAAAAAGAAGATGTTTATTAAAAGACTCAAATATATTTAGCCTCTCTGTGCCATATAAAAATAAGAAGCCATACCATATGACCCAGCAATCCCACTCCTGGGCATATATCCAGAGGGAACCTTAATTCACAAAGATAACTGCACCCCAATGTTCATAGCAGCACTATTTACAATAGCCAAGACATGGAAACCACCTAAATGTCCATTGACAGATGACTGGATAAAGAAGTTGTGGTATATTTATACAATGGAATACTATTCAGCCTTAAAAAATGATAAAATAATGCCATTTGCAGCATCATGGATGTCCCTAGAGAATGTCATTCTAAGTGAAGTAAGCCAGAAAAAGAAAGAAAAATATCATATGATATCACTCATATGCGGAATCTAAAAAAAAAAGACAAATGAACTTATATATGAAACAAAACAGACTCACAGACATAGAATACAGACTTGTGGTTGCCAGCGGGGAGGAGGGTGGGAAAGGATAAACTGGGAGTTCGAGATCTGCAGATACTGACTGGTATATATAAAATAGACAAACAAGTTTATACTGTATAGCACAGGGAAATATATTCAATATCTTGTAGCAGCTTATGGTGAAAAAGAATATGAACATGAATATATGTATATCCATGTATGACATTGTGCTGTACACCAGATCAGAAATTGACACAACATTGTAAACTGACTATACCTCAATAAAAAAATAAAAATAAGATAAAAATAAGAAGCCAAAAGTATATAAACTTAAACTTGTGCTTAGTAATTTAAGGTTTAGTAGTCTCCCCTTACTTAGAAGTGATCTAGATATTCAATGACTGTCTATTACTTAGCACTTAACTCTAAGGTTGCAAGTTACAAAAAGATTTTGGAAACTATTTTTAGGCACATTATAACATTAAAGAAAGCTGGACATCATCTCATTATTTCCCTGTTAACTATTTTCACAGCACATGCATGTTAGGCAGGCATCCAAAAAAATGACAAAAGCAAAGAAAGGTAAAAAAATCAAATACAAAATATATGTTAGTATTATACTTAATGCTGATAGCTCAGAATACAGCTGTTTTTATTAAGCCAATGATATTAAACTAGTCTTATTTACCTAAGATTTTCCTAAATCACATAAACTTGAAAAGCATTTGGGTTAGCTTCTATATTTCTGAGAATTTAAGCAATATTTAATACCTATAATAACTTATTTATCTCTAAGTCAATCAGAATAGAGCTCCTTTTTGAGATTTTATAAATTAATTTGGTAATATCTTCCAGAAGTAGAAAAATATCACATATATATGAAACATGCAGACATAAACATACAGACAGACGCAAATGTCGACCATAAAGTTTCATTCTAAAATTTTAGCCATGAGTCAGGTAAACACAGTAATATAAAAACTCAGTGGTTTATATAAAATAGTTGGCTCTTACCTTTGCTCCACTTTATATTTTTTATCCAAATTTTATTTCTGGGTAACAACAGTGACAGATGGAACAAGTTACGCTTATCTGCTCAATATGAGGGCAAAGGCTCTTTTTGTGGAGGAGATTTAAAGATACTCTTTTATCTTGATGTGCAGTTTCTTTTGGAGGGTCTCCAAGTCTCTTGAGAGTCCTCAATGGGGACAGAGGACCTAAAGTTCAAGTGACTCTAAGGAAATGAGAGGCTGAAATGGGAAGGGAAAGTCTCGCAGGAGTGGATAGAGAGAGATGAAGGAAGTAGGGGCTTGGAGGCAGTTTTTATCAAATGATTCAAGGGAGCTGAAGGGAAGACTGAAGATAGTAAAAAAGGAGAAAGGAGGAATAGATGCAATAGTAAAGGAGAGGTCTTAAAGGAATCAGTTTGGGGAAGTCACTGAAGTTCTAAGTTATCCTTAGTAAAGCCATTCCTACAAGAAAGGAGGTGGACATAGCTAGTGCTGCAGTGGTGGAGCTTATAGTCAGCAGGAATACGAGAAGGGGGTTTCAGTCTATGCGAAGTCCCTGTGTTCTTAACTAGCAGTGCCTTGTAAACAAAGGGGCCTGGGACCTGGGACTCCAACCCTGCTTCCAGAGTAGAGGTCCCCCAAAAAGCCAAGAATTTTCCACTCAAGGGTCAGGGAGTATGTATCTTTACTCAAAAAGATCCAAGAAGACTTCCACCCAGGAATATTCTTGCTTAAACAGATACCTTTCAACCAAAGACTCCTGAGCCTCTAGCCCAGCCTCAGAAAGTATACTCAGAATCTTAAAAATCAAAGTCCGTCCTTCTCATGCTTCAACAGACTGCTGTCCAGAGCACTGGCTCAGGAATCGCACTTACCAATGAATCTTGAGTCACTCAGGAATGAAACAAAGGCTTCAAAAGTGCATGCCTAGGGTTCTGGGTGAAATGTCCAGAGGTCCATGATGAATTTGATCCTGTCTGCATCACTGTTAAAGAAAAAAATTATTCAGACACTTACTAAATCAGTAAGAAAGACTTTATTCAGGACTATGGCAGTAAGAATACTGCAGTAGGGGAGAGATTACAGCAAAGACAGCCAAGGATTTACAGCCAAGGATTTACAGCCAATGAACAGAGTGGGGGAGTCAATGGATGGAAGATTACTAAGAGGAGACATCAAAGGTAAGGGGCTTCTTACTACATCAACTTAATAGGATTCTCGCTGTATGTAGGCCAAGGTGATCAGATACCAAGAGTGGGAAATGAGAAATTTGATCAGACATTGAGGGTATTCAAGATATCAAAAATAGCAGGATTCTTACTAAACTGGCTTAGAAGGATTCTTGCTAACACTGGGCTAGACAGGACGTGGGTCAAGGTCGAGACCTAGCAGAGAAGAAGGCTCTGAGGATCCAGACTAAAGTTTGGTCAAGGAGAAGGTCTGTCACGTCCATCACTAGTACTACATACTTTTACAGAGAGTGACCCAGATACGAAAAGGTAAGAGTGGAAAGGAAGGAAGGAAGGAAGGAAGGAAGGAAGGAAGGAAGGAAGGAAGGAAGGAAGGAAGGAAGGAAAGGTTTGTAAAATTGCCTGCAAACTCAGGCTATCCTGAGTGCTGCCACATACTTGGGAGGTAGGAGATAAATTTGATCTTTTGAAACAGCCAATAGGGTTTTAGGGCCAAGTCTTAAAAATAAGGAGGGGATCAATCCAATTGAGTAACACAGCTATGACTATAAAGCAATGAGCTGCTGGTTCCTGTGTACTTCATGAAGAGGGTGACCAAACAGCCCATTTTGCCTGGCACACTCTCAGTTCTAGGACTGAAAATCTCCCCAGGAAAGTTTACCCAAGGCTGTCTCAGTTTTAAAACTGAAAGTCCTGGGAAACCCTTCAGTCCTGGACAAACTGAGACAATTGGTAACCCTATTTGTAAAAAGAGCTCTGAAGGTACTTCCAAACAAGAAGTTCCCAAATAATTTGACTCATGGCACATGATGAGCTAGGTAAATGGCTTTCAATTTAAGAATTGTTAAAAAAAAAAAAAGAACTTAATTGACTTAGTCACATATTATATATGAAAATAAATATTAATCCTAACTCCTAAACAAAATTTATACTGGGAAAAAAGATATTCAAATTTGCTATTCATTCATCTGTAAGCTACAATAAATGTAGTTACTATGTATAGTAACCAAAGTGTATGTTTGTGTGTGTGTGTGTGTGTGTGCGCACGCGCATGGTCTTCCATGGGAAAGCAATCTTCTCTAAACACTTATCCTCTTCTCTAAACCTTAATTCATCTGTCTTTTCACTCATTTTCCCAGGGGATGTGTCGTTCCTTTTGAAGGCTTTTTCCCCCCAAGTCTGAAGATGCATGAAAAAGATTAAATGGCAAAATTTTGCTTAGAAAGCTCTGCTATTGCTGCTGCTTTGATCAATCAAAACACCTTATGGTGACATTAGTTTACTCTTTTAAAATCTATTTTACATGTTCTTACATTTGTGTGAGGACCTCCCTCCCTAAGAAGCGGGGACCAGGCAGGCTGGGAGGAGACTGGGTAGTTAGGAGCCTGGGATGTGGCTGAGGCTCACTGGAGATAAAGAGACGGAGATTCAAGAGGAAGCAACTTTGGGAGAGGCTGAATTTAAAACCACTTAATGCCAAAGTATTCAACTATGAGGAAAAACTGGGAAAGCCATTGAAAACAAGCAAGTTAGAAATAGAGCACAGAGGTAGAAGCTTAAAATTTTTAAGGCTGTTTTCTTGATTTTTTAATAGGGTGCCAGCAGCTTCAGCCTGTTGATGGTGAAAGTTTTAACCATGATTTTTGCTCGTCCTCCACTGCACACTCCACTAGATACTAGATTGTGTCGTCCAGTTTGCTGAAAAAACTTTACATGTGCAGGTGGATTCTGAATGGGGGAATTTCATGTGTCTGCTTCTCTAACTGGCATCCTTTCTAATGGACAAAGTAGCAGAGTTGGCTGTGACAATTCTGGGAATCCAGAACCTTTCGTAAGATAAGTTGGTTCTTCTAACTCAGTTGTCAGAGTAAATTGATGGGTTTCTGAGTTGAGAGCAGGGCCTCAGTAAACTGGGCTTGTAGAAACTGGTGGAAACAGACTTCATCTTTACTTTTAGTAAGAAAGAAAGAGCAGCCAGAAGACCGTATGACAGTTTCCCATCATCACATTCACGAATTTTTGCCTTTCCTCCCATGATGATGGAATAACTGTCCTGTAGTGTGGATCCTCTTAGACATCATGACTTGAGCCCTGGATCCTCTTACTCATTCAAAGACTTTCCAACATCCACTCTCTCCAGCATTTCCATATCTCCCCTATTAGAAAAATCCCATCAGCATATAAACATGCTATAATATCTCATATCTCAAAATAATCCTGTCCTCCTTGTAATCTATGGCCTCCTCCAAATATCCACACCTGCCTCTCACGTCCACTTGCATCACCATTTCTAAAATGAGTTGTCAATTCTCAGTGTCTCCACTGCCTCACTTCATAGTCTCTTTTCAGTCTTCTCAAATCATGTTTTCCTCACTACACCTCTAGTGAAGCCACTCTTCTCAGGATTACCAATGAGCTCCATCTCTCCAAATCCTCTGAACAATTTCCAGTCCTCTCACTTGAACTCTCAGCATCATTTGACTCAGTCAACTACTTGATTTCTCCGTCAATATACCACCTCGTTCTTCCTCCTTACATCCCTGGCTAGCTTCTTTGTCCACTAGCTCCTTCCTTTTATGCCCAATTTTTAAATTTGTTTAAACTGCTTCTGTTCTTAAATACATTCACTCACTTATCCAGTCCTGTGGCTTTAATTTCTGTCTCCCTGTCAATAACTCCCAGGTCCACACATCCTCCAGCTCTGACATATCCGCTGAGCTCCAGATTTAACGTTAGATGTCTAATAAGCACTTCAAGCTCAACATTTTAAAGTAGAACTTGATCTCATATGTAAAACTCTCAACTCCAGAGGTGTTTGGTATCAGCACTCCAGGTGATGGTATCAGCAGGTGGGCCTGTAGGAGATGTTTAAGCCTTGAGGATGGAACACTCATGAATAGGCTTAGTGCCTTTATAAAAGAGGTCCAGAGAGACCCCCTATCTTCTGCCATGAGAGGATACAGCAAGAAGGCGCTAGCTTTGAACCAGAAAGAGGGCCCTCACCAGAAGATGACCATGCTGGCACCATGATCTCAGACTTCTAGCCTCTGGAACCACGAGCAATAAATTTCTGTTGTGTGTAAGAAACTCAGTCTGTAGTATTTTGTTAGAGCAGCCAGAATGGACTAAGACAGTCCAGTAGCTCAGGATATCAACTTAAACCATTTTATTCTTCTTACTTAGATATAATAAAAATCCAATTGTGTCTGATTATCTATTGGTGATGGCTAAGGCGGCACTGGATGTCTTCAAATTCCCAGCAAGATGATTTGCAGCATTGGTAATGTAGTCTTCCCTTAGGGTTCTATGGCTTCCAGGATTGAGTGTGAAATGGTAAACCCAAAGAGCTTCAAAAAGGTTACCTTGAAGCAAACTGAGCTTCTGAACCTATCTTAGTCACTCTAGCCTCTTTGACAAAGTGATTCTTGTTCCCAAGGAGGATAAGCAATTGAATTTTTCCAAAAGTCAATTTCCCAGAGAAGGAAACCCAAGGTGTGGAGGCATAAGGGCTGGGTCCTCGTGGGGTCTAATGTTTCCCATCTGTATGGTTGGAGACATTCATGTGGGTTGGACTGGGTCAGGTAGGTTAAAGGAAAGTTGGAAAAACTTAAGTAAGAATTATTGGAAGGTTCCATCTGCCTCTGTGCACCCCCAAAAATAAAAGCCCCCTTCCCTTTTGAGAATGTCAGTTATTATAACAGCCAAGGAGAAGAAATGTGCAATGAGTTTTGTAATAAATTCTAGGAATTGCTAAACATATTCGATGAGCCATGGTGATCCTAACTCTAGGATCATAAGCCCTTGAAGTATAATACAGGTATCTTGACTTTGAAGAATACAGTCCAGGAATTCCTCCATTTTCTTGGACATGTACTTTCCAGAATTGGCCTGCAGGTGGTGCTGTAGCCCACAGAGGACTGCATGGACAAAAGACTGATGGGATGTTGGAGGAAGATAAGTGTATTAGAAATTTGTCCAGTTAGATCTGGCCTCCTTGAACCCAGATGTGGTTCATGCAGCACAAGAATATAAGTAGGGCACTGCACAAACAAAATGACATCAAAATTTGCAAGACTGCCCCTCTTCCATTGATCTCCAGCTCTCAGACCAGTAGGCTGGAATAGCTACAACCTCCTCCACACCCAAGCAGGTGATAAGAGAAAAACTGCCTTCCAGATAAGCACCGAATGACCTTCCTATGTGAGGTTGCTAGTGCCTTTGAGGAAAGGGCATCTATGAGTTAAGTGGACAATTCTGTCCTGATGCTGACTCCTAGGCTCAATAGATCAGGTCAGCATCCCCACCCCAACCCTTGCCATGTACTCCACCTCTGCTAAAGCTTATGAATATAGCTGCTGTTCATAAGTGGCTTGGCAAGAAGCCAAACATATTCATAGTGGAGTCACAAATTCATTCACTGTGCACTTACATGTGCAAAGAAAATGCAGCTTTATTTCTCCATAACTCATCTGCTCATCCATGGGAAACTGGGGAAAGGAACCCTAAATTTATCCCATTCAGTTAAACTTAGTTCAGTTTAGTAGTTCAGACCACTCTTTTATGTTAACTCTCTTTAATTTCTTTAGAGAAAATGTTAAGTATTTCTAATTTTCTCTCCATCTTTTCATTCTCCTTAAAGAAAGTGTCTGTGTGTTTTGGAGTCCATAAGAGTTTAAATGACCCATGACAGCAGGGATGGTATTATCTGGATCTTCACTGGTGGATAGTGGAGTGGCTGGATTTTCTGTTCTCTGGTAACCAGTGAAGTGAAGTTTTTTTGGTGTGGCTTTTTTAG